CATTTAATTTGACATGGCATTTTGGACATAAATTAGAGGACGGCTATTACGGCAAGCCTTGAGGAGAAAATCTGAAAGTACTGAGAAATGTTATGGAAATGAGAGATAACCATGAAAAGTAAGACATCTGGGCAAAGTTTAAAAGGACCCTGTATGCTCAGCCTTGAATGAGTGTCACTGTGGGGAGCCGCGGTGACAGTTTTCTAATACACAAGGAATGCACGTCGGAGAAAGGGATCCATTTTTTCACTCATCAGTGAGAGCAGAATGAGCAGGACCGGCTCAGGTTTCAGCCCAGAGAACATCTGTCATGTGTTTGAGCCACAGGAGAGGAGGAGCTGCCAAGAGGGCTGGTGAGATCATCCTCCCAGACGCTGGCGATGAGGTCACAGTGGCCAGGGCTGCTGTCCATCAGGGCCGAGCGTGCAGAGTCCAGGTCTGCCAAGCTCTGCCAGGGGTCTCCCACCACTTGGCAAATCCACCCCCTGGACAGGGCAGGTGATGGGTGGTGGGGGCGGGGGGCGGTCATTGTTGCTTCAGACACCCAAGAATCCGAGACACCGTGCGCCTCTGTAGACGCATCAGATCGCCTCATACCTGGAAGCCAGGATCCAGGCATTTGTTTCCTGGAAAAGCCCATTTAGTCCTTCCCTACAGGCAAGCCAATCCTCCCAGTATCAGCAGCAGCAGCAGCAGCACCAGCACCAGTGCCACTTCGGTAAGAGCACTGAGCTATAGAGCACTTGCTCTACACCAGCACAGCACCCCCACTTGTGCCTCACATTAGCAGAAAGCCCATTTTACAGAAGGAGAAACTGAGGCAGAGAGCTGCTGACTGGCCCATGAACCCACTGTTGGTCACGTCCAGGCTGAGACTGGAGCCCAGGGTATCTGGCTTCAGAGCCCACGGTCGGGAGAAGGCCTCCACTCTGCCGGGAATGAAGCACGCGTGTCAGACGCCCAACAAGGAATTGATGGCAGTGTGGACGTGCAAGAGCCTCGGCAGGAGTTGGCCCCTCGATGATGGCCCGGAGCCTGGAGAATGCTGCCTTTTAAAAATCACCCATTCTGTCTCCCCTACCTGCACCCATACCACTGCTCCAGACCTGGGATATTTCACATCAGCTCTTTGCTGGGAGGCCACCCACCTCCCTACACCTGCCCCACTGGACTCCGCTGCCCTCTCCCCACAGTAATCATTGTGCTTTTCTCCACGCTCCTCACAGGGCTGGGAGGCCACTGTGACAAAGGCTCCTGTGCAGACTTCTGACCCACCTTCTCTGTGGTGCATCACGGGCTCATCTGGCTTCTCTCCCTTTGCCTCTCTCTGGTGTCCTGAAACAGCTTCTATCACAGGCACGAAGTCGGTTTCCTCAGCATTAGACACCCTGTGGGCGCCCTGGCCTCACCCTGTGCCTGCATGACAAGCTTCTCCTGGGGCCTCGTTCATCCCTCGGACGGTTCAGCCCAGGAGAGCAGCTGAGCCACTCCCCACGCGTCACCTCAGAGCTGCACATCCGCTCACCCACTTCAAGAGCCTCCGAAACACAGGCGCAGGGGCAGTGCCCAAGGTGGGCGTCAGTCGCTGGCTTGGCACTGAGCGGGTTTTCAGCGTCACAGCTGTGCCCGCTGGCGGGAAGGGTCCACACAGGATTGGTGTCTGGCAGGCTTCCAGGACAGACCTGGGAGAAGTGATTAAGGAATAATCTTCCTACTATTCAGAGGACTGTGTGCTGATGTCAGGCCTGGAATCAGGTGAATGAAATGTATTCCTTGCTGATGGCAACGCTGGATCAAGCCACCAATGTGTTTCCATGGGCATCTTCATTTTTTCCAGCTTCACCAAGCTCAGTGGAGCTCGAAGCAGGCTTTTCCCTCCTGCAAAGAGACAGAGAGGACTCAGAGAACACAGTGCTGAGTCCTGAGGGTGAGGAGGGGGTCTTCCAGAACTTTCTTTCCTGGCCACTCTTT